CTGATGTGCTCATTCCTAATCCTGTCCATCCTGGTCACTCCTAAAGAGAACCTCAACATCCTCATCTCTGCTACCTCCATCTCTGCCTCTTGTCTTTTCCTCACTGCTACAGTCTCTAACCCATACAGCATAGCTGGTCTCACTACTGTCTTGTACACCTTTCCTTTGATTCTTGCTGCCACTCTTCTGTCACACAACACTCCTGACACCTTTCTCCACCCACTCCAACTCGCCAGGTTGGTTTGTTGCTGTTGTTACATTAGTTGCTTTGAGAGTTAATAATGTTGTAGCAAATTGTGTATTTAGTAGAGAATCACTGTAGATAAATTGATTCTGAATAAGGCGTGACTAGTGACATTTCTGGTGATGATAATCTTCAATATTTTTCAGGTGTTTACTTGTGGAGATGCAAAGCGCCACAGCTAATGCAATTGTGGAAGTGAACCGATACCTGACTGATCCTCTGATGACCCCCTCACATACTGGGCCACTCATAAAACTGTTGGTTTATAAATTAACCAAGCATTTCCTGTGTACCCCAGCCTCATCTGTGCCGTGTGAACGTGTTTTTTCCAAGGCTGGGGAAATGGTCTGTAAAAGGAGAGACCGCTTGTGTCTGAACACTGTGGATTTACTGTTATTTCTCAATAAAAACTCATAAACAGTTACACAAGCACACCCTCTTTAAGAAGAAGAAGAAGGTTTTTTATTATTATTGCTTGGTGACAAAAATAAAATAATGTTTTAGTAACCCTCGTACATTGGCAAAATACCAAAATTACAAAATGATAACACAATAAATAACACTACATAAAACCCTATAAAAACACTATATAAAAAACTACACTGTACTAATATACAGTAGATAATTGTATCCAGATGATCACATTCTTATGGCTATACCTAGCAACAATATAAACCATACTAATTATTGCACACTCAATAATACCCCCATCAGGCACCTAGCAAAGGTAATTATATACAAATAATGACCTTGATATAAATTTTACTATATTAACAAAGTCCCTGTAATAACAGCATTATAGCTTATACACTGTGTGCACAATTATTAGGCAAGTGAGTATTTTGACCATATCATCATTTTATCCATAATTTCCAACTCCAAGCAGTATAAACTTGAATGCTTATTGGACTTAATGCATATCAGGTGATGTGTTTTAGTGTAACGAGGGAGGATGTGGCCTAAGGAGATCAACACCCTATATCAAGGTGTGCATAATTATTAGGCAGAATGTTCTCCTCTGGAAAAATGGGCCAAAAAAGACATTTAACTGACTCTGAAAAGTCAAAAATTGTAAAAAGTCTTTCACAGGGATGCAGCACTCTTGAAATACCTAAGATATTGGGGCGTGATCACAGAACCATCAAACATTTTATAGCAAATAGTCACCAGGGTCGCCAGAAACGTGTTGAGAAGAAAAGACGCAAATTAACCACCAGAGATTTGAGAAGAATCAAATATGAAGCTACCAGGAACCCATTATCCTCCAGTGCTGCCATATTCCACAACTGCAACCTACCTGGAGTGTCAAGAAGTACAAGGTGTTCAGTTCTCAGAGACATGGCCAAGGTAAGAAAGGCTGAAACCCGACCACCTCTGAACAAGACACATAAGTTGAAACGTCAAGAATGGGCCAAGAAATATCTGAAGACAGATTTTTCAAAGGTTTTGTGGACTGATGAGATGAAAGTGACTCTTGACGGACCAGATGGATGGGCCCGTGGTTGGATCAGTAACGAACACAGAGCTCCACTTCGACTCAGACGCCAGCAAGGTGGAGGTGGGGTACTGGTATGGGCTGGTATTATTAAAGATGAGCTAGTTGGACCTTTTCGGGTTGAAAATGGACTCAAAATCAACTCTCAGACCTACTGCCAATTTTTAGAAGACACTTTCTTCAAGCAGTGGTACAGGAAAAAGTCTGCATCTTTCAAGAAGACTTTGATTTTTATGCAAGACAACGCTCCATCACATGCAT